TTTTGCGTGGGGGGGGCCACGTGGGCGGGGCCCAGGGTTGGGGGGGGGGGTGGGCCGGACGTGGTGCACCAGCCAGCTTATCTGGGTACCCCCTCCCCTTCCTTCTGGCTTGTCTCCTTCCTCCCCTTTCGCGGTCCGGGGAGGTTGGAGGGGGCGGGAACGCCTCCTGCGCGAGCCCCGCCCCGCCCTCCTCCCCGCTTCGCCCCGCCTCCGGGCCACAGGGCCAGGAAGGGCGGAAGGAACCGCCGGGGGCCATGGACGGGGCCGTGATGGAAGGGCCGCTGTTTTTGCAGAGCCAGCGTTTCGGTACCAAGGTAGTGTGGGTAGGGGTTGCCGAACCCCATCAGAGCTAGGGGTGGGCAGCTGAGCGAAGATGGAGGGAGGGGACCGGCAGAGGGTTGGAGCGCGGCGCCCGGAGCCGGAGAGCCTTATGAATTTCCGGCTAAATTGCTTTGCACACACTCGGAAGAAGCGTCTGCCGGCCTCCGGGTTCGCCTCTCTGGCCCTGGGGGAGACGGAGCGGTATCCTCCTTGGGAAACTTCGCCTGCCGTCGGGAAGCCTCAGACCTGAAATTGGCCCGCGCAGGTCCCTCCCTCCCTGTCGGGGCCCGGGCCACCGGTGTTTGCCTGCTCCCTCCCCAGTGTCTCTCCGCTCTTTCCCCAGAGGTGGAGGAAGACCTGGGCGGTGCTTTACCCGGCCAGCCCCCACGGTGTTGCGCGGCTCGAGTTCTTTGACCACAAGGGGTCGAACTCTGGAGGGGGCCGAGGGAGCACGCGCCGCCTGGACTGCAAGGTGATCCGTCTGGCTGAGTGTGTGAGCGTGGCCCCCGTGGCCGTGGAGAGCCCCCCTGAGCCTGGCGCCGCAGCTTTCCGCCTGGACACCGCACAGCGTTCCCACCTGCTGGCGGCCGACGCGCCGTCCAGCGCCGCCTGGGTGCAAACGCTGTGCCGAAACGCCTTTCCGGTGAGGGGGCGGGGGCTGCCGGTGAGGGGCTGGGGCGAGCTGCACTGGGCCCAAGAGTCCATGCGGGGTGGGAGCAGTTACAGCGGCAGAGGAACTGGGCTGTCTCAGACCCTGGGAACCGCGGTGAGGGAATTACAGTCTCCTTCATACTCTTTCTCTTTACCCCAGAAAGGCAGCTGGGCCCTGGCGCCTGCCGAGAACCCACCCAAGCTTTCTGCCCTGGAGATGCTGGAGAATTCACTGTATAGCCCCGCCTGGGAAGGTAGATGCCTGAAAAGCCCCAGCAGGGATGGCATGGAAAGAAAGGGTGTCCTACAAGGGGAAGTAGAATGGTCCTGAGAGCTGGCTTTCAAGTGCATGCTTGGACAACCTGCTCCCTCCCCACACCCCAGTCCTGGCCAGGTGCCAGTCTAACTGTGTATTCCTTCCAGGATCCCAGTTCTGGGTAACCGTGCAAAGGACTGAAGCCGCTGAGCGTTGTGGCCTGCATGGCTCCTATATGCTGAGAGTGGAGGCTGAGAGGCTGACTCTCCTGGGCGTGGGGGCCCAGAGTCAGATACAGGAGCCACTCCTTTACTGGCCTTACACTCTGTTGCGTCGCTATGGCCGAGACAAGGTGCGGTGCAGGACTGGCTCCCCGGGTTGGGCAGCTGTGGGAGGGGTGGGGGCAGGACCGGCCTTTCTTGCCTAGCCCATGACCCCACCTCCCTTCCCAGGTGGTCTCTTCTTTGTAGGTCCCCTAACTAGTTCCAGCCCTGTGACTCACCTCTGATGGCTCCTGATTATGTGTTTCCCTCCACACCCTCTTCAGGTCATGTTCTCTTTTGAGGCTGGCCGCCGCTGCCCCTCTGGCCCTGGAACCTTCACCTTCCAGACGGCACAGGGAAATGACATCTTTCAGGCAGTTGAGAGTGCTATCCACCGACAGAAGACCCAGGGAAAGGCCAGCCAGGGGCAGGATGTTCTCAGAGCTGATTCCCATGAAGCAGAAGTGGCAGAAGGGAAGTTGGCTCCCCCCCGGGGCCCCCAGGAGCTCACAGGCAGCCCTCCAGCCCTGTATGCTGAACCCTTAGACTCCCTGCGCATTCTTCCAAGCCCTTCCCAAGATTGCCTATACTCAGACCCCCTGGACAGCACCCCTGCTCAGGCAGGGGAGGGGTTACAGTTAAAGAAACCTCTCTATTGGGACTTGTGTGAGCATGTGCAGCAGCAGCTGATAAAGGCCAAGTTGACAGACCCCAAAGAAGACCCCATCTATGATGAACCTGAGGGCCTGGCCCCAGCTGCTCTCCGGGGCCTTTATGATCTGCCTCAGGAGCCCAAGGATGCCTGGTGGTGCCAGGCTCGGGTGAAGGAGGAGGGCTATGAGCTCCCCTACAACCCTGCTACTGATGACTATGCTGTGCCACCCCCGCGGAGCACAAAGCCCATCCCAGCTCCCAAGCCCCAGGGCCTGGCCTTCTCTGAATCTGGTGCTGCAGCTGGCAGTGGCAGCAAAGGCCATAGCTCAGACACTGCCCTGTACAGCCAGGTCCAGAAGAGTGGGGCCTCAGGTAGCTGGAACTGTGGGCTCTCTGGAGCAGGGACTGACAGGACTGGGGCCAAGTCAGAGGGCTCCACATGAGAAGAAGGGCAAGGCTGGGGTTGCTGATAGGAGGACCATGGGGAGGTGGCACTGGGGATCAAAGAAACCTGTTAGAACCAGCAGGAACCAGAGGGGTCTGTGTGTAGAGACCAGGGTACAAGGGGAGTCAAGGGAAGGATGATGTGTCCCAAGAAGTCATGGAAGTGGGACAATTGGCAGGGGCTCAGGGATTGGATCTGGGGGAGGCCAGCACCTCTAAGTCATCCCTACCAAAGGAAGGGATAGCTGCTGGAGCAGTACTAT